AATTTTTTCTTCAGTTCTTTCAGTTTGAGAAATGCTGAGCATGTTCCTCCTTTTTGGTTTTCAGACTCCAGGTCTTTGCACATTTCATTATAGTAATTGGCTTTGTCTACTCTTACAATATCTAGCTTGAAGATTTTTAAAAATGAAGATTAAGTGAACTAATGTATTTTATCATTCAGCAAATGTTTATTGAGTTCCTCCCACCCTGGCACCTAATGACATAACAATGGCACCTAACAACCTACAATGGGACAGGTATGGGCATTGTTCTAGGCTGGGTGCTTTGGAAGAAAGGCTTGGCAACTTACTTTCAAAATACCAGTCACTGAAAACTCTATGGAGCACATACGCTGACATACATGGGACTGCCATGAGTTGGAATTGACTCCAAAGCACGTGGTGGTGGAAGTGTTGGGGGAGGAGACAGCACCTGTGAACAGAGTACTCTAAGAAGGCTTCCTGGAGGAGATGCCCTCTGACCTGAAGCCTGACCCATGGGAAGGAGGGAACCATAAAAAGTGGGTACTAAAGAGCAGTCCATCCTGCCCAGAGTGGATGTTGAACATTTCTTTACCCATTATATTCAGCAGAAAGGGTGGCTGGAGATTCCATTTGTAGAGAATTTTTAGAAGAGAGTTGATGCTCTCACGTAGAGTAATAATCTGACAAAAGACAAAAGACAGAGGCCAGGCCAGTCAAAGTTTCAGAGTCTGTTTGAGCTTTGTACATCTACAGTTCTTCACAGATTATCTTAAGCATGAATTTCTGAAGAACAATCTTATAAAACTGCCTTGAATTCCTTGGCAATTGTTTCCTTTTAAACGTAACTTTTAATGTTAATAAAGTCCTTTATTTATGTTAATAGTCATTGCTTTCCAAAGAAGTCTGATTTGTGTTTCTGGAGTCTTAATAACCTATTGTTTCTAATTTAGAAATTGGATGAAGACGTGCATCAAAAAATTGCAAGGGAAATGAACCTTTCTGAAACAGCTTTTATCCGAAAACTGCACCCAACTGACAACTTTACACAAAGTAAATGAGCATTTTCTGACATTCTCGAATGGCACCAGAAGCGCTTTTTTCGATGAGGGAATGATATTTAAGGGAAGTGCCTCTTTGTTGTTTGCTTGCAGGCAGTGGGCAGAAGAGAGATTCTGATTTGGTTTCCAGTTCTCGGGGGAGGGGGACAGAGGAAGCATTGATTCATCTGGATGCTTCGGCTCCAGATCTAGCGCTGGGAAGCCACGCCTTTCGTGTCCTTTTACAGTATGCTTTCGCTGTTCATCATGCTAGTGAAATAACTAGGAAAGTTTAAGAAAATGAAAACTGTGCAACCTATTTGCATGGGAATTATCTCACCTCTCTTTGGCTCTTCCTCCTCCAAAGGTTCCTGTTTTGGATTAAGGTGGTTTACTCCAGCGAGTGAGGTACCTCTCTGTGGCCACGCTACCCTGGCTTCCGCAGCTGTGCTGTTTCACAAAATAAGTAAGGTGATTTTTCTTTTATGAACCTATCACTTAGCAAATAGCAAGTATTTTTAAAAAAATTCTCATACTGTCTTTCTGATGAGCCCAAGTGACTGGTCAAGACATTGTAGAGTTTATTTCATGCAATTCATGGTTGTTGTTGTTGTTATGTGCCGTTGAGTCAGACCCGACTCATAGTGACCCCTCCTTGGGTTTCCGAGGCAGTATCACTACAGAAGTAGATTGCCCCATCTTCCTTCTGAGGAGTGGCTGGTGGGTTTCAACCGCCAGCCCTCTGATTAGCAGTCAAGTGCCTTAGGCACTATGCTATCAGAGCTCAGCCTGCAATAACACTTTGGTCTTTCTGAGTAGGTACCAGGCATCATTGAAATGTCATGGTCCCAGTTCTTCAGAATGCCATTTTAATTCAAATAGGGACTCTGGTCTCTAACAAACATGGCAGGGGAGCATGTATGGGCAAAGCTACTGCCATCAAGTTGATTCTGACTCGTAGTGAACCCTTAGGACAAAGTAGAACTGTCTCATAAGGTTTCCAAGGCTGTAAATCTTTACAGAAGTGGATTGCCACATGTTTCTCTGCAGAGTAGCTGGTGGGTTTAAAACACCAGCCTTTTGCTTTGCAGCCAAATGCTTTAACCACTATGCCATCAGAACTCCTCTATGGACAGAATAGGCGGTATGATATGTGACATGACATGTGGGACCAGAGGACCAAAAGGCACACTTTATTCCAAATATGTACCCAATCACAGGGAAATTCCACAGTAAGTGATTTTTGAACTTTAAATGTTCATAAGCCCTGATTATACGTAATTGTCCTATGAAGAGAGGTTGCAACACTTCAATCCTGCTATTTCCATTTTAGCTGCATTTAGCTTACTAGATAAAGATCAGGACCTTGTGGGAAATACCCTGGAAAGGAAACAAAACAGCCACAAAGAAGCATGGACAATAAACAGATATTTAAACAGGGAAATAAACAGGATAAGACAGAGAGTAACTGGAGAGTGGGGAGTTGAAAAAGGAGGCCCTTTGGGTTGCCATAAGTCTGGCCAACTTCACAGCAGCTAACAACAAGAAATCAGAAAGGTGTTGCCCGGCTGGTTAGCCCAGGAAACTGACTCTGAGACATGTTTGCTTGGAGAAAGTTTTGGGAATGGTATTCTTGGGACCAATACTGCTAAAAGAGTGAAGAAAGCTGAGGGAGAAGTTGAACTGCAAAGCTGCAAAGTAATAGCACCTGAGAGGAATGCCTTCTTAAATTTTGCACTTTAGGAAACATGCTTACCTCACCTGATCTGGGCCTTGAGGAGAAGGAAGGAATAATCTGTACAGTAGTATCCAATGGAGAAAGGGCCTTGTGGGCTGAAGAATAAGATGAAACCATCTAGACCTAGAATGAGAGGAAGAGCATTCCAGGCAAAGACAGCAGCAAATGCAAAGGCCTAGAGGTATATTCTATATAACCAGAGTGGCTGGACATTCCTGAGCGAGGGAATGATTGGCAGGAGATGAAGTTGGAGAGTTAGGCCGAGGCCCCTCATGAGGGGCGTTGCAGATGATGGTGGAAGTTTGAATTTTATTTTACAACAGGAAGTTGTTGAAGTGCTTTAAAGGCCAAGATATAATGTAAACCAATATACATTTTAAAAATGTAAGTTTGGTTTCTGTGGATAAAGGGACAAGAGTGAAAGCAAGAAAACATCCTGAAATAATGGTTAGCAACTTACTTAACTAAAAACTCACTGCCATTGACTTGGTTCCAACTAATAGTGACCCCCACTGGGTTTCCAAGGCTGTACATCTTTATGGAAGCAGACTGCCCAATATTTCTTCCATGGAGTGCCTGGTGGGTTCATACCACTAACCTTCTGGTTAGTCTTGAAAAATAAGTCGTACTGAAGTTGGATTGAGGACTTATCTAAAACAGAGCTCCACATTAGTTGTAATGACTCTGAGGCTGGGTTCCCCCCAACCAAGACCTTTACTTAGGGTAATCCTGATTTGTTTCGTATCATACTGTTGTTCATAAATTAGAAATTTTATTAGTTATTGCATTGTCATAGCCTAGGCTAGTAGAGTTTATGACTCTATGGTTATTATAGGTGGCTATTTTTAAATATGCATTAGAAAATATTTTAACAACCCTATGAGGTAGGTTTAATTATGAATCACATTTTACAGATGAGGAAGTTGAGGCTTAAAGAGGTTAAATGACTTACTTAAGGACACAGTTTGTATGCCATAAGGAGCTGGGATTTGTAACCTTGAGGGATGATGCCAAGTCCAATCAAGTATGTTCCTGGTTCTCAAGTTCAAATCCAGAGAGGGTTTTCTCCACTCTAGACTCCAGCAAAACAAACCTGGATGCCCATCACAGGAAAAGATCACACTGCAAGAATATAACTTAATATAAAGGTGATTGAAACAGACAAATAGGTAACAAAGTTTATTTTCTTATTTTTGATTCCTTTTTGAAAAATTTTCTCCTTGACAAAATAAGACTCTTTTTTTTTTTTTGCCAGAGAATGTGAATAGCACTTTGACCTTTGTCACGCTGAGTGGGGAGTTAAAGGCCAGAAGAGCAGAGGATGGGATCATTCTGGACTTGCCTCTTTATCCAGCTCACCCCCAGGTCAGCTCTTTCTATTGCTATAAACAGTGTACAACCAACAACTTGCCTCTTTTAAAATGGTTTTGTACTTCTTCCCCATCTAGGATTTCCTGGAAGTAGAAGACTTGATAAAGGTTGGTTAAAAATTAAACATGAGCTTGTGTGATATGGTCATTTGTTATTGTTTGAACAGAAAGAATTGGTATCATTGGATCCCAAAACACAGGCCTCCTACCAGTATGAATGTTCCAATCTAAGTATGAATGTTCCAATCTAAGTGTGGATGAGTAGTACATGGTGTATTTCAGGCCTGAATTTTAATAATAATTCTTTTTGGTGAGAAGGTTGACTGGTTTCCTTGACTCATAATAGTCAGCATTAGCCTTCCTGGCAGGGTGAGTGAGGAGAGACTGCCTGCCATGTAGCAGCTGAGGGTGAATGAAGAACTGATGGAGGTGAGGGGAAGAGAGACAAAGAGTAGGACGTCTCCAGGAAACAAAATTCTTTGGGAGGGGACCAACCTTCAGATAATCAAGGGATAATTTCTAGCTTTTTTCTAGCTACGATGCTAGGAATGGGGCTGGGGCATGGCTGTGCAAATTCAGGTGTGAAACTTGAGAATTTCTGACAGGAAAGGGTTGTGGCAGTTAAGTTGTGTGTCATCTTGGCTGGGCCTGGTTGAATGGCTGGGCAGGTAGATATAATTATTCCCCATGATAAGACTGGTAATCAACTCCATGGTGCAATCTACTGGAGCAGCTGAGTAGCTAGCTGCCTTAGGGATGAGGTCTGCTTCCAGTATATAAGAAGGAGCATTGAGAAAGGTCTTTGCAGCTTTTTGGCACACTTGGATCCTGCAGTAGCTAAGTCTTCCTTTAGCAGCCTGCAATATTTCCTGCTGATCTTGAGGAAGCCTCTGGACTTGAACTTGTAGACTGCTGTGTTGCTGGATAATCTTGAGACTGTGCCATTGAACTTCCTGGCCTTGGGTTTGTCAGCCTCAGCAGCCAGCAGGGCCTGAGTTAGGAGAAGCCTCCATTTTCAGTGGGCTGGGAGCAAGAGGCAGAGCTAGAGCCCAAGGTCAAGGGGCTTTCACCCAGCCCCTAGAGCCAATACTTCTAGACTCCTAAACAGTAAGAGAATAAATCTCTATTTGTTCAAAGCCATATATTTGTGGTATTTTCTGTTAGAGCAACACTAGAAGACCAAAACAAGCATTATTTCATGAATTCTATGCAAACAAGGTGGAGCTGCTAGTGTCCCCAGTTGTGGTAGAGGATGGGGCTGAGGTGTGGGGGCTGTGCTTTGATAGAAGAGACAAGGAAAGCATGGGTACCTTGACGAAGAGGACCAAATATATAGGCTGGCCTTCTCAGGGGCCTCTGTAGGGGTGGGGCTTAATAATAATGACAATAGTAATTATAATAATAGTAGTAGTAGTGATAATAATGATAATAGTGAATATTTTTAACTC